CCTAAAAATAAAAACTCGAGTTATGGGAAAACTGAGCATACCACTAGATAGAGCTCGTTGAGTTCTACGTGGAACGCTGTTTGGAACGGTTGGAACGCATTCCTGAACGAATATGGGAAGCTTTTACTCAAATATGGTGCCAGTATTTTATTAAAAGAATGAAGTATTTTTTAATTTTTTTAACCATCGTTTGAACTATGGAAAATATAAATACACCATTAGATAGAGCTCGCCGAGTTCTACTTGGAACGCATTCCTAAACGAATATGGAAAGCTTTTACTCGAATATGGTGCTAACTTCACCAACGTTTCTTTTTCGCGTCCGAAAGGACGTGATGAATTCATAGTATCTAGAATCTAGTCTAACACATTGTATACATACTTACATGTATCCTATCTCTACACATCACTTGTGCGAATATTCGATCAGAGAATATATTTATATCGGCCGAATTGAATCAGTTTGTTTTCTTCGTCTTCGTTTTCATTGTAGTTGTACACTATGAAATAGGTTCAACGATCTTTCTTTCGTCCAATGAATAGTAGATTACTTCTACTAGTGACATCTGTATATCAATCTGATGCAATCGACAACTATACAAGATTTTTAAAGAATATACGTTAGAACTAAAACGGAACATTTCAATTAATATGTTCATTATCAATAACTATGTGATCTGTTTATTCTACCTATTCATCGATGAAAAACTAATCATTTGACTAAAGAATCTTTTTCCTCAAATTCGAATTGATCGATCTATAGTACTTGGACTTCCTTTTTTTGTCAAGACATTTTTTAATGTTGATCTCAATCGATCGATGTAGTGTTTCTTCAACAACGAAATTAAATAAATGCAGAAGCTTCGGATCTTATCCGAGAGTTAGGTGTACTGCAAAAGGTAATTCAGCTGGGCGATATAAGAAGGCATAGAGATATATCTATTAGTGGTGGCGCCAGGATTTTTATATAAATGGGGCTCAGCCCCTCCCCCTGCGCCGCCACTACCCATACCCACACCCGCTCATCACCACCACGCTAGAACTGCAACAAGGCCAACGGTTCGAATACCGATTTCAAAAATCTCATGCCAAAATCGTACAAACAATTTCTCGTTGACAATAGCAGTAACCATCGCGTTCGTGCACCAAACATACGCCGACCAAAAGATTAGCCCATACGATCACGCTGCAAATGAGAACTGTTTTCCGCTCTTCAAATGTTTCCCCTATTTAATAAAGTCACTAGCTCAACTTAATACATATTTCTCAAATGTCTCAACAGTTTCATCTGTAATTCTCCTCTATAGAACCGTTCCACGATCTGTTAGTGGAAACTGAGTTTCTGCGCACTATCGTGAATGACGCCTTGTTTCCAATTCTATCATGAACTTCCGTAACATAGCCACCTCAAAACCCATCGAAATCATACATTTTTCACCATCTTCGTCCCTTCAAACAATCCATCGAAGGACTAAATACCTACTTCCAACATTCCCATTACTAGCACACTCTCTCGCTTATCAATCACATAAAAGTTCTCAAAATTTGTGGTTGTCATAATATACTTTCATATTTTGTGAAATCGGACGAAATTTTCTTTTTCTAGCGATTTGAGCACTACTGTTGATGAACTGAAATCATGAAAGAATATGTCATTCGTTTTATTAAATCCAATGTGATATGAAACATCCTCGTTCAAGGGGATTAATCAATCCAGGTTGAACCTCTCAAATAACATTGTCCAATCTGACTGTACATTGGAAACTTGGGATTTTTTTTTGGCAGAAGTAATCGAAACGTTATAATCGAATCAATCAAAATATGCTGGTTGTTCATGCGAAAGATTATTTACACTTTGTTCTTAACAATATCATGGAAAAGAACAGTTGCAAGTTTATATTCTTGTTCTACAATTAATAGAAATAGAAAGAGGTAATCTCTCACAAAATTATTATTTAGTCTGTTGCTTGTATTCAAGTATCTTACATCTTATTGTTTGGACAAATGTCGATAAACTATCTTTTTCATAGTCTAGTGCCAATTTCAATCTCTTTCTTTTGTATCACGAGTGTGTGGGCACACCTGAAGGATAACACTGTCACTTTATGTGGAATGAACGGTTGAATGCCTATTTCAATCGAAGGACAAGATGAGATACTAGTGTGAAGCCGAATCTGACACAGAAACTTAAGCTTAAATTAGCCTTCCATGGAAAGCGTTACATTATAATTTTGTTGTATCAATGTCAGATCAATCCGTAATGACCGATCGGTTAACTTAATTATTGTAAGTAAACGCATGCAGTTTGAAGGTGTTGCGTTAAACGGACCAATTTCTTGTGCCTCAGTATGCCACAGTTGAGGATGCTGCTAACATAAGTGAGATCAAATGGTTCTTTTACTCTATCTATGATAGCATGACATAATGAGTTTGACAACAATACTGCAAATTGAGATTGGGAACAAAAGATACAAGCATTGTTTGAGCAAGGAAAGAAAAAATGAAACAATATGAAAATTGTAATGAGTATGTATCAATGAAATTGGATTATCCGAGGAAGATTGCGAATAATCGTCAGTGACATCTATTGTTCGTCATCAATAAATTTGTAATGGCCAATATTTTCCTCTAACCGCTGAATGATGATCGAATGAATCTTTTTATATACTTCCATTTGAAAGTCTATCGAATAGATTTTTAGATCAAAAGATAAAATTAATATTGAAAAGAAAAGATGTTAGCAACATGTAGTACTATTTTACAATTATGGAATAGTCAAGATTATTCACTTGTTAATGAATTTGGTCATGATCATGTTCCATCAACAGATACAGTCAAATCAGTCGATTGGAAAAAGGATAATTGTAAACAAAAATTTTTATTGATTTATTTTTGAGATAAAATTTTCTTTTAGCAAATTATCTCGTATTTACATATCGACAAACAGGACGTGTTCAATTATATGATATTCAAAAAAATAAATCAGTCGAACTTTCAACGGTATTAGAACAATTGGTTTTGTCAAGATTAATCAAGATATTTATTTGTTTTTAGACAAAAGCTCAATGGTGTTCATTTAGTACATCGGGAAAATATCTTGGAATAACTAATGAAGATTGTCAAACACAAATTTGGGATGTCAATTCAGGAAGAATTTCACAAACATTCAATGTAAGAAAAGAAAAATCAATGTTTGTTTTTGTCTTAATGAAGAATTCGTTTTCGTAGAGCGTCGATCAATCACCAATGGAATGTATTTGTTGGGGCAATGGAGATTCATATGTGGCTTGTGGAACACGAAAAGGAAATGTTTTTCTTTATAATCAATTAACAAAACAAAGTTTTTCTGCATTTACAACAAAACATGGAAATAAAGTAAATTGGCTGCTGAAGTTAAAAAAGCATCGAAATCATTGAAAATCTTCATTTAGTTAGGCGCAATTTCATCGATAAAATGGTCTCCACATAAAGAATTACTTGGTACAACATCGAATGATGGTTTATTATCCTTATGGAATTATCGTTTAAAAGAATTAATTATTTCAATTCATTCACATAAAGCTCCAGCAACTGATTTAGCATTTTCTCCTCATCATGATGCATTTCTTGTCACATCAGGAATGGATGGATCACTTTGTTGCTTCGATGTTGTTCAACAAAAGTAAAGTTTAATAAGAATTTCTTCTTTTTGGCTCATTTGAATATTTTTGAATTTCGAAGGGTTTTATCAACAATAAGTATTTATGCTCCATTAACCAGTGTTGATTTTCATCCAAATGGTTCATTAGTTGCTGTTGGAACAATGGGACAAAATGCATCTGTTTATGATTTACGTGATCCAAAGAATAAATTAGCACATTTAGTTAATGCAGATCATGGAAATGTTTATTCTGTTCGATTCGAAACATCACAATCATCTACTCTTCAAAGACCAACAACACTTTCACAAGAGGTTCGAATCGAAATACTTTTTCTTTTCTTGAAAATCGATTTCATTGATCTCTAGACAAGCAAAGGAATGAGTACATTTGCTCAACAAACAACACGTTCTCGTCATACATCATCTTCCTCTATTCAATCACCAACAACAACGATCGATTCAGTGACAACAAATCGATCGTATGGGACACAACCACGAACAGGACAATCGCGTGAACGAACACTTTCTTCACTTTCAACGACAACAACGAAATCAAATACACCAACAATTACATCGAACAATACAACTATCAATGATCAAAGTAAAAGATTTCTTTGTCGAAAATGAATTCGTCACCTTTTTTTTCTCTTTTTCTTCAAGGTTCATCATCACCACGACAACGTAAGTTGTTTATTGATTTCTTTGTTGTTTGTCTCAATTAATCGTCTATTTAGATCGTAATGATCGTTCTGAGCCAATAGTAAGCAGTTTCTAATTTATCTCTTTTACTTAACAATGAATTCGTATTGTAGTCAACTTCAAGTGGAAATACGAATGATTGTATGAGTTTTGAAGATTTCGCTCAATTGTGTGGCGTTTCTTCGCGCACTCCAATTGAGAATGGTCACAGTAAGTGGAGATTCTTCGAAAAGGGAACGATTTTCATTATTTTAATAGAACAAGATAGAACAAATGAAATGAGCGAATCATTAAAAACTTTGTTGGATAATCGAGTTAATTGTTTACGAGAAGATTTCAAAGATGATCTTGCTCAAACTAAACTTTCAATGCAAATGAATTTCATCGTTGAATTAGAAAAACTTCGAGTGAGTAAAAACAAAAATTTCTTTCTTTATCTTCTCGTTTCATTCTTGTAGAATGATTTAATGAAACAAATTGAATCACATTCGTTGAACGCACAATTAATCGATGAAATCGAACGACTTCGAGCGGAAAATAAGCGCTTACGCCAACTACAACCTCGAATCTAATCTGTTCCGATGATGGACTGATAAACCAAACAAATATTTTCCTTTTTTCTTATTTTGTATATAAAATATATTTGATAGAAGAATAAAACATCCAACGAATGACTATTTCCTTTGTCAACGATAGATAAACATTAATAAAGGATATGTCAGAAATGAGTGCATCAAAGCTTGAAAAACTATCATGTGTATTTATTTTGCTAATTAATGTGATCAACTTTTATGACATCTGTTAAGAACTTTCCATGAAAATACAAGTCGAACAAATGAAAGTGGCCAATATCATTTCCCAGGTCGAACAATCCCATACTCGGATCCCACGTCGGATCCGAAACATGGATTTCCTGGATTTTCTAAAGGTCATCATAGAATATAGCTAGAAAGATCGCTCATAAAATTTGCAACAACCGACGGGATTTTTCTAGTCGGATTCCAATGCAATTCCGCTTCCAGGAATTCGATCGGATTTGTTGACCTGGGTTGTTCGAATTCACCAGCCACTAGCCAACCATTTCTAATGCTGCTCATCATATTTGTCACCGTCAACTCCATCTGGATCTTCATGAACATTGCTATCTTGTGCATTTTCGTCTTCGCCCACTCCGTCTGGATTTTCATATTCACCATCTTGTAAACCCAAAGAATGATGTACAGTAGCTGCTGCAACATTTCGACATTTTTGTTCGATGTGTTTTGAATCGTTCGCACATTCTTCTGTTTCGTGACGATTATCCAAGGCGAGGAGGCGTTTCACGATTGACTCGAGCTCGTGTGCTTTTTCCGCACATTTGACCAATCGCCTTTTGATAATTTCTATTGCCTTTTGTTCGTGTTTGGCTTCAGCTTCACGTAATTGTTCAGATGAGCTAGCTGATTCTGCTCGTGTTTCGATTTCTAATCGCGCCAGTGCTACTAGCTATAAATGAAATATTTCAGTAAATGACTTGAAATTAAATGTTATGATATTTTACATACTGTGAAACTTATCGAGGACATTTTTTCATAATTCACGGACTCGGCCATATATTCTGGTTAATACGAAGACGTAATGGCGAATTCTATACTCGAGTGGGCTATATAAACGTGTTGTGCTGACGATAAAGAGAACGCGGATGAATGGAGGACGTGGTCAATGAAGAAAATGAAAACGAATTCGTTGATTCTAGTCAAAGAAAGTTCGTTTGATGTTGTGTTTAGCAAAACAAACACGTGGTTCTGTCGTGAACATCATCCAAAAAATGCATACGGATACAAAAGTGTGTACATACAGTAAAACCTCTCGTAGTGGACACTCCTATATAGTGGACACCTCCTTATAGTGGACGCTTCGTGGTCCCACGGAGCATTTTCTGCTGGAATTGAACCTCTACATGGTGGACACTATAGTGGACATTCCCTTACAGTGGACAGTTCTGGAGGTACCAAATGTTAATTTTAGCAGGAAATGGACCTCTCTACAATGGACATTTGAATATAATAATGTACGATGAAGGTTTTGGAAAAAGTTTGATGGTGCTCATAAGAGAAATTTGACTAGATTTTGACAAGTATTCAGTTTTTGAGAGCAAAAATGAATGTAGGAAGAAGTAACGATACACAGTAGCATCTTGTACTTGTACTTAGTGGCGGCGCCAGGGGTGGGCTCAGCCCACCCTAAAGGTATCTGAGCCCACCCTAGTCTGGGTTAAGACGGGCTAAGCCCACCCTAGTGAGAATTCCTGGCGCCGCCGCTACTTGTACTATTCACTAGCAATGTTTAAGTAGCTATACAACAGGTGTATTCTATGTCAGAAAGAGCTGTTCTACAGAATACCTCACGTCTATATAGCAGACACCTCTCTACAGTGGACACTTTTGAATGATCTCGGGAGTGTGCACTACAGAGAGGTTTTACTGTACTCAGTTTTCATCTTTTGTTTGGATTTCAACTAGGTCTGGGGAGCAACTGTAGCGGTAGGATCTTGCATGGATCCTTCAATAACGCATTTCTAGATCCAGAAGAAGACTGAGATTGAGCACGAGAGTGAGAATGACGATGATGAGCAAACATGTGACACTGAGGATGAATCTCGGTGAAAAAATTGGCTCTAGTTGCTTTTTTGCCCAAAGAGACACAACCGAATACCTGTGCTTTCCTGCGATGTATAAGATACGACACATAATGATCAACAGATGTCGCTCTACTTTAAAAAATAATGTATTTCTTCGAAAAAAAGAATTAATTTTTTCAAGTGAAGAAATATTTTACATAGCGAGAAAATTTTTCCCAAATAGAGAACAAAATTTTATAAAATTAAATAATTTGTGGATATTGGATCAAATTGATTGAGGGTTGAGTCATTATAAATGAAAAACGAAGACGAATGATCGTCGTGTGTAGTAATCTTTTGCAATCATAAAACAGTCGGAAGTATGGATTTGTTGGTGAATTTGATCATCATTTTTCACCACGAACAGATAATATTCATATAATTACATATCGACAAATCGAAAATGTTTCATTTCAGGATATCAGAGTCAGAGAAGATCTTTTCTTGTGTTCTAGATCTTTATTGTAATGGAAACATATGTTCCCGAAGATCATGTTATTGAATCCGAAATAACTGAAAATGATCTATCAGAAGAAGATGAAGAAGAAACTGAAGCTCCATTAGTTACACTTCCACCAATAACAAGTTATGATAATTTCATCAAAGCTGAACCGATACCAAAACGAAAACATCCTGCATCGTCAGAATTACCCGAAACAATAACAATTCTGAAAGATGAAACAACAAGCGGAATAGTTTATCTTGTTGGAACAGCTCATTTCAGTGAAAAAAGTCAACGCGAAGTTGCTGAAGTATGAAGGAAAATTCGATTGTTTGAAAAAAGTTTAACTTAAATTGATTTTTGAAGATTATTCAAACGACCCAACCAGATATTGTCATGGTTGAATTATGTCAAAGTCGAGTAGGAATTTTCAAAAAAGTAGTTTTTCTTAAACGGTATTTCTCTCTCTTCATTTAGGTCAATATTCTTTCATTAGATGAACGAACTTTGATGAAAGAAGCATCCGAAATGAATATGCAAAAATTTCGAACGATAATCAAAGCGGTAAAACAATCATGTCCACGAATTTCTTCGAGTATTTCTGCTTGATTTTAGAATGGAGTGATTCATGGAATAATTCATGTACTCTTATTAAGTATGACAGCGCATCTAACAAAACAATTAGGAATGGCACCAGGTGGAGAATTTCGAGCGGCTTTCCGTGAGGTTTGCCAATAAAGTTCATTTCTTTTCTTCAAAGGAAGACGAGTGAATTGATTTTAGGCACAAAAAGTTCCTGGTTGTCAAGTTGTTCTCGGTGATCGTCCTGTCGGTATCACATTGAAACGAGCAATTAATTCGTTATCAACGTGGAAAAAAATTCGTTTAGCTTGGTCTTTATTGACATCAAAAGATAAAATAACAAACGAAGATGTCGAAAAATGTATGGAACATGATATGTTGGAAAAACTTTTATTAGAAATGAGTGATGAATATCCTGAATTAGCAAAAGTTTTTGTTAATGAACGAGATCAATTTCTCTCATATTCATTACGAAAATGTGCACAACGTATTCCGATTGAAACGAATCAATCTGGGTTTGTTCCTGCAACTGTTGTTGGTGTTGTCGGAATCGGACATGTTCAAGGAATTGTTAAACAATGGAGTCAACCACCATTGAATGATATTCAACATCTGATGAAATTGTAAAGAAATAATACGAAGACAAGTTCTTTTTTTTTACTTCTTTTCCTTTCTTTTCAGAACACTTGACGATAAACCAACGGAACGCTCCTCATTGTCGAATTATTTATCGTTATCATTGAAATTGGCGTGTCTTGGTGCAGTTATTGCTGGTGTTGTGAAATTTACTCGTTATCGACTTCGATGAATCTTCTACGTCCCATTACAATCTTCATCGTTATCTTATTTTTTTTGAATTTATTAATAAAGACAAACGAAAAATCTTCTTCAACAATCTCATGTGAATTCTTCCATATAAAAATTACTCTTCGAAGAATTGAACAAAAATGAATATTTTCGAATAATACAAAAAAAGCAGCTAAATGATTTATTAAATTTGATTAATTTCCTCATTGATTGTTTTCTTTTTAATTGCTAACATATGTAAAGTCATCGTTGATTGTTGTAAACGATTTTTTTTCTCTTTTGGAACATTCCATTGACAAAAGAAGAAAATTAATTTCATTCCAATTCTTCGTTTATAAATTGTTAAAAAACGAAACCAAATGAAGATTAATAATAAAATACAAATTGATAAAATAACAAAAAGAACCAATTTTAACGTTGGCCAATCAATATCTTCGGTTAGAAAAACGCCAAATATCGAAGATAAAAATATCCAAAAAACGAGAACCGTTAATACAAACAACGTTGCATATTGTCTTGTTAAAAGACCAAATTGTAATTTATGTAAAATATCGATCAAATAACGAATTAAGATTAAAATAAGTATTGTAAAGATAATTGTTAAGAAAAGCCAAACGAGTAAATTTCGACGTAAGAAATCGTACAATTGTGAACTATTTGATTGAATTTTAACTTCGATATTATCAAGAATGGTCAATGTTGTATTTTTCACTTTAATTATTGATGGATCAATTTGTAAAATAATTTGTTTTACAGCATCATCAACAACTTTGACAATATCTGATATTGTTCCACCCATTTATCGTTGTTTTTCTCGAGGTCAGATATGATGAAAATGAGAAAGAATGACCTGAAACATTCTTTCCTTTCTTTCTTTTTCTTTTTCTCTTTCTTCGGCTAGTTTCATTCAATTGACTGATAATCTCAAGAGACATTCCTCTTTCGTACATCGGTCAAATTTCTCGTCGTTCATTTCTTCTTTTTCCCCTTTCGACATCGATGTGTCACAAGGCAGAATCTCTCTCTCTCTTTCTCTAATCAATATCTTATCAAATAGATAACATTTGAGAAGAATTGAAAAATCGTTTAAGAAGGATTATTCACAAAGAATTTTCTTTGAAAAAGATAAGATCGTTTGTTATTCGAAGTATTTTTGGAATTAAGACAAATCTTCTTTACTCTGCCTTGAAAATATTCTTTTAAACAGCTCGAATTTCGTCTGATTCACTCGTCATAATCAATATTAACACAAGATTTTAAGTAACTTTTTCTGATGACACACTTGAAAAAGTACTTTCGAAAAACGTGTGAAAAGATTTGGTTTTATTTGGGAAAAAGATCTTTTTCACAGATGAATTATCACATCGATTTCGAATGTAAAATAATTAAAAGTAAACTAACGATTAAAATAATAAAACATCGTCGGATGAAAATCTGTTTTCTTGCGACTTCATTGGAATTTTCGTCACAATCGAAATTCTTCAAATGAAAATGACAAAAAAATCTCTTTTTTCAAAGTCAAAATCATTTTTACTTACGAATTGCGAATGGGAAAGACTTTGATAAAAAAAATCCATTTCTACACAAGGAGAAAATGTGTTTTCATCGAAGTACGCCGATCAACTTCACTGATTGAGTTATTTTGCCAGGACGCACATTGAGGTAAATTATTGCATATGGAGAAAGAAAGAAAAAGAAAAATTATCGAACCGATCATTTATGAAAAGGAAAAATCTTTTTTTTTCAACTCGAGCTGAGATATTTTCTATCCCGAACAATTTCTTTCGCAAGACAAACCTTGAAAAGCATTGACATGTTGACAAACTGATTTGTAACGATAAATGTCCGTTAACAAGGTAAAAGTTTGTTTTTTTTCAAAATACAAAAAAAGAAACGAAGTTTTATCCAAAAGATATCGACGATGAATATAATTCAATAATGAAAACTATTCAAGCAGAACGGTCAACGAAGATGTTCATATTAACGTTTTTCTTTTGAGTTTGATTAAGGGATTCAAAGAAAAAAAAATTCTTGGGGATTTTAATCTATTCATTGGCATAAATGATTTCATATGATTTCGATGTTATTTAACGAAATCCAGAAAATAGAAGAAAATATAACATTTACCTTTCGTTCTCTTATCGATATATTTATTTTTCATCGATAAAAAAAGGTCTCGTACAAATAAAAAGGCGAGAAAATATACAAACTATTGACAGTAACTTTCTTTCATTTGGATTTATACGTAGCTCCATCTTCTGTGAAAGTTTTTATTTTATTTCGATTACAGTTTGAAAATCATTAACTTGAAAATCTAGTTTGTTTGTACATTCCTCGATAACTGATTGATACATTGAATGCACCAATGATAACATCTTTTTCTTCTCTTAGTCAATCGGTCAGTGATTTAAATCAATTACCAGATTTAATTTCTGAATTAGTTGAAGATCCAGTTTATGGAAAACATTTATCTTTTCATGGAAAAATAATTCCAATGATTGCTAAAAGTGATACAAGAAATGTTCGAGGTGCATCCGTCTGATTGCTTCCTCGGTGGACACTTGTTCCCTATATCGCCCCGTTGATCCATTCTGTCCGTCATTCTTTGGTCAAAATACATCTACCCTACTATTCGAGGGAGGAAACAGACTAGGAAATGACGAACCCGATAACAATTTGATCGAACGATTAGTGTCACCTCACTAGTTCTACTAGTCGACAACTGACTGTACCTTTCTTTTTTTAAAATCACTTTTCATTAAAGCAAGAAATAAAACTAACGCCTTGAGAAGTATCAAACAACATGAACTAAAGAAAGCAAATCAATGTGTTGACAATGATAGTGCAAGTATAGAAATAAAAATCTCCATTGTTTCAGACGAATGGGTATGTATAAGAATTAAGCAAAACAATGTCCGACAAATCATAGCTGTGGCTTTTCCAGAGCGTTTATATTTCACCATCGATCACCAATTAATTCTTCAGTTCATCTTTCAAACGACTAATTTCTTCTTGTAATTCGTGCATTTGCTGTTTTTCTGCTGCTGTCAATAAATGAAACGGCGTTGCTTTCAGTGTGTCTAGGTTATATAATGGAGTGTTTTGCGACATCGAAAACCAGACCATTTTTCTAAATGAATTCGCGTAAAATGTACGGAACGAGTTGCAATAGTCATTTCAAAAATAGATATGGAATCGTTTTCTATCAAATAAATGTAGTACATGTCGCAATCATAAACTATCGACTATTTTTATTGAGAGAAAAGCAGTCTAATTTTCATGAGGGAAGAAAACAATGAAAATAAAATATGAACGGACGTCGATCACGGTTACATTTATAGAAAGACATCGTTTTCACGCATATGATGCGTTATAGCGTTTGCCCGGAAATGGCATCTATTTGGAGGTAAGGTGAATTTCCGGAAAATCGAAAAACCATATTCCAAAACAACTCTTCATATTCGAAGTGGGTATTCTAAACACACTACACAAAACTTTCAGTGAGGATGCGGCGAAGGGTGATGAGGGTTTCATTTTCATGAATTGCCTAATTCGACTTATATTATAAATGGACATCTGATAGACTAATCTCAGTTCGAATATAAATAGATGTATATCTATATAATCCTACATGTTTAAGAATAGATAGGGATAGATTTAGTTATACCTGTGTATACCGATGGACATAGGCTGACATATAGCTCGGCTGAGAGTATTAGGAACTCGTCACTTATATTATAAGTCGAATTAGGTAGCTACTCATCACAAGTGACATTTCTACTAAAGGGACTTAATCATTAGTAATTTACTTACGATTACACGTCTTTGCTGACGAGTATACGTTGGATAATCAGTAATGCGTTACCCAGGTCGGACAATCCGGGACGGAAACGGCCAGTTCCGTGCTATTCCGGAGTTTTCATGGAAGCAGTATTCCTGACGACCGAATTTATCTGGTTTGGGTCGGAACCGATAAGAACATTTCAAAACCAGTAGCCGGAAACGGTTACCACATTTCTCCATCGGATTCCTGGCATTTTCGGGACGGGTTCCGCTCAGAAATGGCGAGTTTCCTCAAGTATTCTTTCGGAAATTCATGGAATCCTGCTTCAGGAACCATCGTCCTGGGTTAAGAGATTGTATTATTGTTCATGATGACAAATTTATACTGTTTTGTTGAAACGAGTTAAAACAGATAATGATCCGTACTACCGATGTAGAACAAATGAGCACATGGATAAAAGAAGAAGAAATGATAGTCTTCCCAGATCGATGAACCCCATACTCGGATCCGAAACACGGATTTTCTAAGGGTCATCATAGACTATAGCTAAAAAGATTACTCATAAAATTTGCAGTAACCAACTGAATTTTTCCAGTCAGATCCAGCATCTGATTTGTTGACCGAGAATTATTTTCTTTTGAGATATCGCTCTCTTCTTTATTTTATTCGCTCTTCTAGAAACACCGATGAACTTCTAATCGTGAACTAGACGAAAATCATTAGCTGTCAAGTGTGATAAACGTCTTATGTGGCGTTCAAGAATAATTCTGTGATTGTCATTTTATACTGAAACTCTGATCAGTTGCTAAGTTTTACCACTGTCACACTTCTCTTGTCTTTTAAAACATATTTGAAAAGAGATCTTTCCTACATGAATACAAACAAGTAGCGCTCATCCTTTGGATTCGCTGACCCTTTTTCTGAAAGAATTGTCCCAGTGCTCACCACATTCAAACACTTTGAAAGACAACTTAGGCATTGCAATTGCTACTAGTCCTCAACTGAACCATGCCACTATGTCACACACTAAAGTGAATAGAAGACAGATTTTTCTTTCTCAGGAACCGAACCGAGTAGCCATTTGTCAGTGAGTAATTCTCGAGAACTAACTGTGTTGACTGAGAACCCCATCCCTCAATGGCTAGTCGCTCGTCAGCCTCCCTCCGGTCGGCCACTCACGACCAGCCATTTACCTTTTCATCTGTTGTTCTATTTTCACATTACTCGCATGAAAATTTTACACATTAGCCTGTCTCTTTTAGTAAAAAAAATTAACTCTTTTCTCTGCTTTCAACAAAATGATGCCTTCTCGAATATTTTCATTGAGGAATATACATTTGCCAAATCCTTTTAAAAAATGGTTGAAGCCTGATAAGGCTATTCCAAGTGTACACTTTAAGATTAATCTGGAATTGAAACACCAAGTCGTTCGTCGGCCTTCCTCCGGTCGGCCACTCACGGCTAGCCGTTGCCACATATACGATTAGTTTCCCATTTTCACACCGAATAGTTGACCCGCTCATAATTGATCGGTTTCTTATCCGAGATATTGAAACTTTACATAACAAATAACGCGACCTAGTAGCCGCTAAACCCTCTACTGAAAGCATAGGGCTAGGGTGCTACTATTCGTCCGAATTTAGAAAAAAAGTTATTTCAGTTGAACGATCTGATCATTTGATAATTTGTCAGAATGTTTTACTTAGACCAATGTCGCTTCCTGAAATCTTCTGAAATTATAACGCCTAGTCGTTTGTCGGCCTCTCTCCAGTCGACCAATCACTGCTAGCCGTTGGTACCTAATAAGTGTTTAATGATATTTTCATATTAAAAAGTACCTCGTTCTTGTTGAGTCCGTCTCTAGCAAAGTTGCCGAAATTCTTCACAACTTCGTGACCTACAATATATCTTTTATTATCATTTTTACTTAAACACTGTAAAAAAAGAGTGGGGGATAATCTACCCTACAACGTGGAGGGACAATTCGTCGCACAGGTAGTTAATTGTGACAAGATGNATTAGAAAATTGGATTCGACTTCCAAAGGCTAACACAGTTGGTCAAGAATCAATGTTTATTTCATTAATTGAGAAACAAGTTTACATAAATCAATTAAAAAAAAAACAAGTCAATGCATGATTAATTACATGTGCGACGAATTGTCCGTGTGCCGAGTTTCACTCTCTTGTATTGATAATAGTTAAATCATGAGGAGTATCTTTTATATGCACTCAAGTCGATGTGTGAATATTTGTGGGTGGGTAGGTGAGGGTGTAATGCGTATGTTGCTTTCGATACCTTCTCTCTCAATTGATACCTACGACATGTCATCAAGATGTTTTAACTGTTTGTACTCGATTTGTCCGATAAAGAAAGTTTTTCTCCATCTAAAATATATGATTTCAAAGAGATACCTGTGCAATCAAACACAAATTCGAGAAATGATCAGACATGATGCCGTATATTTCATTTCCTGACTTTTACGAATTAACATTCATAGGGAATATTTACATCGGAATTTACTTTTTCTAAACCATATCAAATCGCTGCATGACATAGGAGATTCAATAAAACATTTCTTCTATGTATCTGCTAAACGTGCCGACAAGAATGAGTCAAATCGTGTATGTTGATTAGATTATAAATATATAGAGTTAGTAAGTATAAAGGAAAAAGTCTTCAGTGAAACACAATGCTAAAATATATATTCCTGCTACATAGTGTATTACAAATAAATGGATCATTTCGTCTGTATAATTCCGATATATCATATCGAGATTGTTTATATTCAAATACAATTAATACTGAGATCAATGAATGGATATTAACTCGTTATTGTCTAGATGGAAATAATGTTGTTGGAAATCAGGATGAATGTGATGAAAATGTGAAATTTACATTTGAAGAATTGAAATTAAAACATGTATCCGGAGAGAATCTGTTCAAATGGAATGCCCCTATTGATACAATTAATAATTACGAGAAATATTTGGACGACAATGACATGTCAATGAAAAGTGATTTCTTTTGTAATTGTTCAGATTTGGGAAATTTCTTTGGTAAAGATTGTTCCTATTCATTTCGTAAAACTTCTTCTGATACGACATTCGATGAAATTATTTCCAAACAATTTGAGAAAATGAAGGAATTATCATCTACTTCCGAAATCTTAGATGATGAAGATTTGTTGACATGTTATAAAGGTATTCAATGTGATTCAACAATTTGTCTTGATTGGCGACAAATTTGTGACGGATTTATTGACTGTAGAAATGGCGAAGATGAATTCAAGGATTGTCTTTTAATTGAGCTGAATCAATGTGAAGAAAACGAATATCGTTGTTCAAATGGGTTGTGTATTCCACAAACATTTTTGATTGATTTAAGTTATGATTGTGGAGATATAACTGATGAAGAATATGATATTGATGAGATCGTAAATGAATTATTCGAGTGTCATAAGTCGACAGTGATTGTATGTGATTTCAGTCAATCGCGTTGGAGTTTGTTTCCATGTGGCAATGGAGAATATAGTTTACTTGATTCTTCTGATCCCGAATGTGCCAATGGTCGTGATTTGTTTTATCGTCGAAATCTTCTCTTATCATTTTCATCCGCACATAATAATAATATCAGTTTTGAATGCTGGTTATTAATGCTATGCGTATCGGAGAACTTTCTTTTAGATTATTTTGATGATGCTGAATCCGAATGTTTATGTGACGAAAACAATCGAGAGAAGAAGAAATGTGTGAAGTATTTCAACCAATATTGTCCTTCGTTATTTTATTTTCAACATGATATGAGGTTTTTTTCTCCATTTGTTAAGTTTCTGTACGATAAAAGCAAGAGCAATGCCGATGAATGGTGGGAACCAACTCATATTTGTTTCATGAATGAAACTTGCGTCGAAAGAAAAACGATCCCTAATTGGTCGAATTACATTTTTTATTGGCAAAAAACCTTCTCTTTGTCCGATCGACCCAGTGACGACGAAAGATTATTCTATTGTAATGAATCCAAACGATCGATTTCCAAATATCGAGTAGAAGATTCTATCACTGATTGTTATTATGGAGAAGATGAAAATGATCAGATTACTTCATTGATCATGACATCTCTGAATTTAACAGATCGTTTTAAATGCAAAACAGGGAACCAATGGATGGTGCGTGCTTTAATTGCGGATTATGACAAGAGTTCTGACATGGCGATTAATAATGAGAATTATTGTCGTGATAAATCTTATCAGTTATATGTTGGAGAATGTCGTAGACCATCGGATTTTGCTTGTCAGATCTTGCGAGGTACTGTCACTCCATTGATATATAATGTATTTCAAGAAAATTGTAATGGCATTAATCATGTTGATCCTCTTGCTGATAATGAAACCGATGAAACAAACTGTGAAGAATGGTCGACTAAAAAATGCAATAACATTTGGGATTGGAATAATGGAACCGATGAACTGAATTGTGTCGATGGAGTCCCATATTACTTAAGTCAAACGGTTTTCAAATGCCAGCATAATGAACATTACTGTGCAGATCAGAAGGGAACTATCGGTTGTTTAGCAGCAGAACGTGCAGGGGATGGGGTGATCGATTGTTTAGGTGCAACAGATGAAAGAAAAATGGTATGTACAAATGATTCAGGGTATCCTTTCCAGTGTCGCTCTGGCGAATGTTTGAGTGTACTACATATATGTAATAAATACCGAAATTGTCCTGATTCCGATGATGAGATAATATGTCCGTGGGCAACGAATTCATCCTGTGCTTCAATAGAATTTCCTTGCAAGAATGGCACATGTGTTCCAAGAGTCTCAAAACAATGTAATAAAATAATTGATTGTCAACCGGATGGAGAAGATGAATGGTTTTGCGATTTAGAATATCGACAAGATCTGAAATTTTCTTTAAAAAACATTGAAGAATATCCATTATTTAATATTAATTTACCAAAAATTGCAATGATAAACGATGCTCATTCGAATCCGTTAACTGCGATCAAGAAAATTTCCAAACAAAAAAAAAAGATAATTGACAACTGGTTTTGCAATCGTGGGATTATCATTCGATTCCGCTTCTCCAATAAAAAATGTTTATGTCCACCGAGTTATTACGGGTTAAGATGTCAATATCAATCCGAACGAGTTTTAATCACCGTGAAAGTCGATATACCGATTAGTTTAGTCAGATATCGAAGTAAAAATAGTTCTCTTTTGATACTTGCTCGTTTAATCTTAGGTGATAAAGTGTTTGATTATGAACGAATTCTTCATGAACCTTTGATGAAACAAATGTTCTATTTAAATTATCCACGACCACCGCCGAAGAAACAAGGAAATTGGTCAGTTCGGTTTGATGCCTTTTCAATTAGCACATTCAATGTTCAAGAGAAAGCATCTTGGCTGTTTAATGTCCCTTTTTCGTTTTTACCAGTCAATCGACTAGTTCTACATTTGATGCTGGAAGATTCTCGAGGATGTCAGACATTAAATTGTATCCATGGTATTTGTCGAAGGTATCTCAATTCTCCTTATGATGAATATTGTCAATGTGATGACAACTGGTCTGGCAAATTTTGTCAGGATCCAATCAATTGCTCCTGTGTTGCAGGTGGCAAATGCATCGATGGATATTGTGTTTGTCCTTTAGCGCGAATAGGAAATGAATGTCGAGTTTTATTTAATCCATGTCATGATATCAAATGTGAAAATGGTGGAACATGTTTACCATTAGATGAACGTCAGGTGAAGAAATTCGAATGTATGTGTCCAAATGCTTTTTGGGGAATCTATTGTGAACGAAGGAATGCTGAAGTTCAGATTGAATTCTCGCCTTTAATAAGTTCTGAACTAGAATTGGTCAATGTATTCGTTCATTTTCTTAACTTGGAAAGTGATCTTTCAGCAGTGTTGTCCGTTGAGAACAGATTTTTGTATAAAAATATCAAATTAAACCAAATTCTTCATGTTTATCATCAGAATCATGATTATTTATCAGCCTTCACCCTCATTGAAATATATTATCAAAAGTATACCTCGAATTATTATCTTGGAGCTCTTCTGACGAAGAACGTCACCAATCTTAGAACCCAAATTGATCAGGGCAGTCGATGCCCATATGTTGATGAACTCATTTTCAATGAAACCATACGAAAATTTTCTTTACGAAAAAAATTGAAATATTATCATGATGTCTGCAAAATAGATCGTGGGATCAAATGTTTTCACGATGAAGCTTCGCTATGTTTTTGCGATCGATATCATCAGCCAGACTGTGTGGCTTTTCCACGTTCACCCACTGCATGTGCTAAGAATTATTGTCAAAACAATGGGCAATGTATTAGCAATATTTTTAATGGCGTTTGGGATTTTGCTTGTATATGTGATGGGTGCTCGTATGGATCATTGTGTCAATTAGTAACATCAGAATACGTACTTTCATTTGATGTGATTCTCGGACCAGATATCAAAACGAATATGCCGTTCATCAAACAGCCTTTTCTGATAAAATTCGCCTTAGCAATGATTACTTTCATGGTTGTGATTGGAACTCTATCAAATGTTTTATCGTTAATCACATTCAGACAAGGAAAAATTCGCGAATATGGCTGTGGTATGTATCTCTTCTGTTTAGCTTTCGTTGGACAAATTGGTTTATCGATATTTGCCTGTCGATATGTGTACCTTTTGACAACACAACTCTATGATATTCATCATTTTCGTTTGGTTCATTGGAGTTGTATTGCTTTAGACTATACTCTCAGTGTATGTCCAATATTATTTGATTGGATAATTGTATGTATAGCGATAGAACGATACGTGAATATAATAAAAGGTGCTTCATTTGAAAAGACTAAAAGTGTTTGGTGGGCTAAACGTCTCGTTCCTTTTCTGACTTTGACTATTATTTGTAGTTCATGGCATGAATTATTCGTTCATGAATTAATTTATGATCCGCGAAGTGCAAGTCAAAATGCTTGGTGTATAATTAAAATATCATCCCTATGGATAAAATATTATCGGTTAATTCTTAATTTGTTTCATTTAATTATCCCTGGATCGATTCATCTCATCGCTACGATATTGCTTTTGCATAAAACAACCCAAAGAAAACAAACATTGGAAAAGAAGAAGAGTGAAAAGTCTTATTGGGGAGTATTTCGAAAACAGTTGCCCATGTATGGAAGTCCATTCGGACTGATCATGTTCAGTATAATAAGAGTGACTTTTTTATTTACATTGGTTTGTATATCGAGACAATGGCATAAATATGTTTATCTTCTTGCGTACTTTATTTCATTCAGTCCGTTTATGGTCACATTTCCAATCTTTGTCCTTACCGCTGAGATATATAAAATGGAATTTAAGAATTTTCTTGCGAGATTTATTAGAAAACTCAAAGCAAGATGGATTTTATGATCTTTTTCCCGCTTAGAATTCTACTTACTCAGTATTCAATTTTGAAAATAACAAGCATTTAGACTAATATTTATACTGCAGTTTCTTGCATCTCTCGGGCTGAGAATGAGCGTGAGTTAAACATTCTACGACGCGTGACAGTATGTGTATGAGCTTAAATATAGGTATAAAAGAATAAAATTTTAGAAATCTTTACATCTGCCCATGAATCTGTCGATTTCGAATGATCCGAAAGAACCACAGTGATATGCTTAGACAATTACAAAAAACTTATCCAAAACGATCATAAAATCAAAGCAGGGCTCGAACCCAAACTCTGACCCACATCTTTAAATGTAAGAAATCTATAAAAAAAAGTGCGCGTGGAACACAATGCTCATCAATGAAAATAACTAGTGACACCGACAAATGATCCTTCACGTCTGTCTGTTCATGCATCTACTGTAATAGCTAAATGGTTGACATTCTCCAGCAATTTTTTCGGCTTTTCTTGAGTATTCGTCATTAACGATGGGAGTAATACATTGGTAAAATGTCGTGAAGATGTTGGTTTCCATTTCCATCTTGGAGCCACTATTCTTCATGAGATGCCTAATTCGATTGTGCACTGACAAATGGTTACCGAACGAAAAGCTGTCATCACCCTCAATAAGATAATAGTATGTTATACCGCATATACCGCCTATACTGCCCTATACTGAAATTCAATTTCCAGGAATTGCCTGGGCATCCGAAATGCATTGGATTTCCCGGCTAACGCTATAATGCATCATATGAGACTATCGTTGCCTAGAGATTTTTTTAGGATGAAAATGTGAAATCAATCACCTAAACATGTCATCGAAAAGAACGCGTATATATATATATTTTCCAAAAAAAGAACAAGGAAGTACGTTACATAAATGATGATCCTATGTCACTTGGATTAGATGAAGGTTTCTCTTTCAAAGCATTTCGTACGCTAGTCACAGCCTTATGGTGTGATTTGTTGAAACATCTAATCGATCTTTTTTTTTTCGTATTCGTTGAATGGGCATCACATGTGGAGAATCTATAGTTGAAACTTTGACGATGATTGTTCTGAAGAAGATGATTCTTCAACAATGTCGTGACAGTAGGCACTTGGTAAACCACATCCGAATAACAAGTATTTGCCTAAATTCTTCAATTCACACTGAATTGTTGTCAGTCCGAACATGTCGAAAGGAGAAAAGAAACACATTGATGAGAATCGATGCTGTACTACTGCGCAAGAGAAATGTCATTATAGATGTAATAACCAAATACATATACAGAAATCCTCGCAATGATATTACTTTTTAAGAAAGAGAGATTATTTGATACAATTACTCGAAAGATAGGTTCCGTGTGATGCTAAAGTGTTAGGGACTCATTGTTAGTACTATGCAGCCTGAACAGTGCTGTTATCATCTAATCACAAAGCTCAATATGACCTGTAGATAATTGCGAATTATCCACAATTAGCAAAACGAGCCTTCTAGGGAGTGGTCGGTATGGTCCCAATTAAACGACTTTCATCGATTGAAGATGAAGGTTTCCTGTTAATTTCATTAGTAGCGAGCTATGATTGGGATCTAAATCAATAAGACAAAAGCATAGTTGCTGATCGAAACGAACTCTTTTTTCTTAGATCGAAAAATGTTGTGAATATTGCTGGATTTTGATTCACTTTTCTGTTGGCAAAGGATCGCTTTTAATCAGTTCACTGGTGTCGTGGAATAAGTCTATGGGATGATTTGCACCTGCTACAAGATAGGGTAGGGTAACGTTACGAAAATTTTTAAAGAGCAAGTTGCATGCTGAAGTGTCATAACCTGTCAGCCCACCCCAAATTTTGGACATCAAGTATTATCAACATCTGTTGTGAAGTTGTACGCATAAAGAAAGATACATTATGTTCGTTTCTTTTGCTTTGTGATTGAAATACATTGAATGAAATTGAACAAGCAAATAATATATACAAAAACGAAGTTCCGTATGAAAGATAGTGATGATGAGTATAGGTCAATAGAGATTTTCATATCATTGGTTTTTCTTTGAAAGTTCGATTAAAAAAATGAAAAGAAATTGTTGAGGATTTTAATCTATTCATTGGCATGAATGATTTCATATGATTTCGATGATATTTAACGAAATCCAGAAAAGAGAAGAAAATATAACATTTACCTTTCGTTCTCTTATCGATATATTTATTTTTCATCGATAAAAAAGGTTTCGTACAAATAAATGAAAAAGGCGAGAAGAAATACGAAATATTGGAAGTGACTCGATTCCGTTTGAATTTATATGTAGCTCCATCTTCTGTACAAGTTTTCATCTCCATTACATTTGGGAAATCAAACGAATTGTTTTGATTTGAAAAGAATTTTTTGTTTCTTGGAGCGTGAATTACGTTCCTCGATAACTGATTGACACATCGAATGCACCAATAATAAAACCTTGTGTTCTTCTCCTTACACTCGGTAAACTTTGTTTGTTGTTCTTCTTCTTATTTTTAGATAAGATTGATCATGGAAGATGAAATTCTTGAATTGTCCGATGATCAAAAAACGATCCGATATCGATTTATTAGTCAAATCGCGAAAGAAAATAATAAAGTTGCCGGTTATTTGAGAAAGATCTTTCATATTTCAACAAATGGCGATCGACAAAAACGAATTGATGTTTATCAAAAGATTCTCGATGAATTACCATTCGGGAGTGTTGATCGAGAAAAATTATTGGAATATTATGCAAAAATTATGGATTTAGAACGTCGTGTTCGAAAATTCGTCAATGCAAAGATTTACAATGAAAAAATCGAAAATCCTCAAAGTACGGCAACTGCTGATCAATTCGATTATGTTCTCAGACGAATGTTAGAAGAAAATGTCGAACCAGAGATCGTGAAAAAATTCTACGATGAAAATGCTTTTGCGATTTTTAGTTTAACAATGCATCCAACAAATCCAACATCAATGGAATATACAATTAAAGGTGGAATTCGATTTGATAAATATTTAGATGATCAACAAGATTATACAGAACATTTAAAAATCATTCAAGATTTACCTTTAGCAGGAAAAAAGAAAACAGTGGAAGATGAAGTGAATGAAACAATCGCAATTCTTGATATGATTTATGAAACAGCACCAAAATTAAGAGAACAACTTATTGATACATTGAAAACGTATCCAACTTATGCAAAAGTTCTCGATGTGAATATTCCAAGAATTCAAGCATCTATTTGGCCAGCGGGAGATGGGGATGGAAATGAAAATGCTGATATTAAAGCTCTTGAAAAAGCCATTCAACAATTGAAACAAAGAATTAAACAATTATATTTAAATGATATTCAACAATTATCTTCACAAAATAAAAATCATATTGAACAAAAATTAATTGAGAATTCTTATGAAACACCACAACAATTAATTGAAGATTTACAAAAACTCGAAAATACTGATGATTTAATTTATAAAGTTCGAACATTTCAATTTTATTATGCACAAATTGATATTCGACATAATGCCATTGATATTATGCAAACTTTACAACATTTATTAAAAATAAACCAATTACATGATAATTTCTTATCTTTATCATTGAAAGAACAAAAAGATTTGATCAATAAATGGTTAAATGATGAGAAAATAATTGAAAAATTAAAATCAACAAATCAAGATGAATTAACAAAAAGTAACAAAACAGCTGGAAGAATATTTGGTCGATTAAAATTAATTCCAAATGATTTAGATATTTTTAATAAATTAATCATTGCAGAAAACAAATCAATTGTCAATGTTTTAGGTGTTTTTCTTCTTTTAAAAGCCACAGGAAATTGTGTTGCTGAAAAAGGAACAGCTCTCGATATTGTCACATTAAGTGAATCCGTCAGTGATTTAAATCAATTACCAGATTTAATTTCTGAATTAGTTGAAGATCCAATTTATCGAAAACATTTATCTTTTCGTGGAAAATTAATTCCAATGATTGCTAAAAGTGATACAGTAAGAAGAAATGGTCGAGGTGCTGAATCATCTCAAGAAGAAGCATTAGGAAAAGTTTATGCAATGGTTGACGAATTTCGTTCAAAATATCCCGAATTAAAACATTTAACCATCAATGGTTTTAGTGGTGGTGGTGCTGCTTTACAACGTGGTGGTGGTCGAGTCACTGAAGTTCCACATAACAACGGACGTGTTGCACGATATTTTCATGCGAAAACAATTGGTCCATCATTATTAACAATTCAAGGCCATCAAATGCAAATTCTCTTCTCACCAACATCAATTTGTTTACATATGTTAGAATCTTTAATTGCACAAAATCTTCATGCGCGTGTTCAAACTGAATTGAAACCCGATGGAACACATTATGTTCCACCACGACGTGCACCTGATGGATATGATCAAAATCATCATATTAATAATTTTCATCAAGCTTGTCAACAAATGAGACAAACTTATACGGAATTTATGGGAAATCTTGATGATGATGAAAATTCCGAATCGGGAAATAATAGTTTTAATCAATTATTTGCAAATGCACCATGGGTTTCAGTTATTTTAGGAAATCTCAGTTCGCGTCCATCAAAACGTGGTGCAACTGGATCGAATGCAGATGAAATAACTGTGAGAAGTATTCGAGGTGATCAACCCAAATTATTAAATAATCGAGCGATTACTGTTGAAAGAATTTCAGCACATAGTGGAACACATTTTTTAACTTATTTAAGTGTTTTCGAAGGTTTAAATTCAATTAATCATGCAGAATTACATGATATGTACATCTGTGGCAAATCAGCACGAGATTTTATGAGAAATACAGCTTTATCATTACATATGACTGATTTTGATTTAGCTTGGGAAACGATGATTGGAGAAAAAAGACCAAATAAAGAAGAATTAATGAAATTAGCCAAACAATTTGATCGAAAACAAAATACAAACAATTCCAATCAATCAATTTTAGCTTGGCTCGAATTTTATGCATTAGATGTAGCGAAATTAGTTCATAAATGTATTCTTGGTGAAGACCCAAAAGAAGATTTCAATTTACAAACGCCATTAAAAGCAAGTTTTTCTAATTTAGCACAACAATTAACAATTCGAGAAGAATCTGATGAATTCGGAAGATATGCTGAAGCTCAAATGACCAATTTTCTCAATCATAATTTAGATCATGTTTTAACAGAAAGAGAAATGGTCACTTTACAATCATGTTATGCAGCTGCTGATGTTGTCAATGCACCGGAAGGTGGTTTAAACATTGAATTAACAAGAAAAAAAATAAACTAAACAATTTAATTTGGACTTTATCAGAAAATTCAAATGATCAAACATCTTTATTTTTTTCTCTCTTCTTTCATTATTCCAATCATAGTCTTATAGAGATTCTATTGAGATACCTTTACATAGATCTAGTTTCATATCTTTTTGTGATTATTTAAAGAAAAGAAAACCAATAAAAGTCGATTTTTTTCCAAATCTTTGATTGATTTTAAAAAAATGAATTTCTTTCTCCACAAATATTTCCAAATTGATTTGAATTATTCAGTTGATCAATATTACAAACATATAATAAACGTTTACCTGCATGTTCACTCACAGTCCATAATCCACCTGCTTTTCCATCGATTGTTGGCCAATGTGATAAATCTTCAGGTCCAACAGATGAATAATACGAATTTTCAATTTGTAAAATTCCCGTTGTTGAATTTATTGATTTTGTTTTATATAAAAATCCATTTTTTGCACCTTGACTTCGACTTAAATACCATTTATTTTCAAATGAAACGGCACCTTGAATATTTGAAATGGGTAATCGATACGCCGAATCAGCTTTCCAAATTCCATTTGTTAATTTTGGTTGACCTGTTTGTTTATCAAGTGGCCAACGTGCAACACGACCTGATTTCTCTAAATCTCCATTTGCTGTTTTATCTGCACAAAATTCTCCTGAAATTAAATGATCTGAATCCGTTCGATCAAGAGAAACAAAAGAAAATGTCGGTGATCCTGCATTAACTCGACATGTCATTGATGAATTTCTTGGAATAATATTTGACCAATCGTTGATTTGTGGCATTATATAACGATAACCATGAGCATAGAATTTTCCATTTTGAAAACCAATTAAATGTTTATCATTTGTATTTCCATTTGTTGTTTGACTTAAATCAAAGATTTGTCTCATATCAAATATTCGAAAACCTCGAGCTGTATCAGCAACATATAAATAATTGTCATACCAAACAATTCCACCAGCATGTAATGAATCATAACCATCTTTTTGTATTGTTCGTAAACTCATATAAGTTATTTCTCCTTTATTATTTAAATATGGATAAACTAATAAAACATGTTGATATTTTGATGTTTCTGGATCAAAGAATGTCACTCGAGCACCTTTTATTTGATCAGCATCTGTATTTGTTGGTTTCTCTGATTTCTTATCATACCAAGTTATTAAAATTGCTCGTTTTGTATTCCAAAGTTGAGTTGAACGTGCATCAGCAACAGTTGTGACACCTTGTGGCATCCATTCAACATTTCCACCAATTGTACTACTGTCCGATGGATTAAAACAATAACTCACACTGGTTAAATTTCGTTTCAATGTGGCATTTGGATTACATGTCTTTGCATTTGTACTTTTCGTTCCTTGACGATTTGCTTGAAGAAGAATATTCTTTACACCGAGTTTTGCTAATTTTTCATTGAGTTTTCCAACACAATTTAATAATTCTGCATGATTTGGAGAAGATCGTAATTGAAAATCGATAAGATTTGGAGCTGTGACACTTTCTAATATCCATATCCAATTGAAAATCGTCACAAATATTAATATGAAGGTCATTTTTTAAGAACGGATTTTCTTCGTATGTGTTTTGATAAAATGAAAGAAAAATCGATATTTTTATATCGTCTTCAAATTTATTATTTATCATCGACGTATTAAAAAATGCAAATCCATCAATATGAAAATATCGATTTATTTTTTTGAAAGAAGAAAAGAATAAAAAAAATGAAGTATTTTAGGTCTTAGAGTCTTTCTTCTATGAATTATTAAAGATCAATGAGTACAGTTTTTT